GCACCACGTGGAGGTAAGTCTATCGCACACCCCGTGTTTAAAATAATTAATGGGTAGAGCTTGTTAATTTCTAAACAAAAAGTTGCAATAAATTTTAAGCACACAGTTGCAAAAGTTGTAGATGTTGTTTTGAGAATTCATCACTCAAAATTAATGCGAGTCATCGGCAATGGCGGTTGATAAGACTGAATGTTTTTCGGTCATGGTTGGCTCAACGAAAATTTGCATTTATTTGCATTCAATTATGCTGTTGATACACCATCGGAAGCACCACAATCTAGGGTGTTTAAATTTGAGAAAGAAGTGAAGAACTGCGGTAAATTATGCACACGACTTTTTTTGAGCAGACAAGATTGAGCGCCTTATAATTGGTAGAATAATATATTTCATCATCACTTCAAATGTAAGAAGCAATAGGACAGTCGAAAAAGTGATTTCAAATATATTTCACCTTGATTGTAGCTGTGATTATACTCCTCGTCTTCATCGTGATTCAACGTCGACCTTGGAAACCAGCGCGGAAACGTGTTCGAACCCACGGTATTTGGTATCCACCATCCCTCTTCTTCCCTTCCAGTGGAGGAGGAGGAGGTTCAGGTACAGCAGTTGCTCATTCAAGGAATCCTTGTGTTGCCAATGATCCTGGAATCCTTCAACAACAGGGGCATAAGCCTGGTGGCAAAACCGATGGTTCACAGCTCGAAGATCTCTTACTTCCTGGGGGCAAAAGAGCGAGATACTCGCCGTCTAACGCAGTGAGTATTCCTTCTAGCATATTGCTACCTTTTCTAAAATTACGTTCAATGTTAGCCAAATAAATGTGTTTTTTTTATAGAGGAACTACCAGGATGAACAATACGGTTTAATGCCTCAAGAATCTTATCAACATGGATACACAACTCTCCAGAGTTCAACAACACGGACACTCCAACAACACGACCCTGCTGCTACTGTAACTGGAGAGTTGGCTAGTACAATCCGTGCATCCGATGGTTTGCACCCACTCGGTTCTGAAGCCCTTTCCAAGATGGAAAGGGTGATTCGAGATAGTCAGCACCCGATGGTTAATCAGCAACAGCCACCCCAACAGCATCCATACATGCATCAACAAAATCTTAAACGCTCATTCTCGACCGTGGAACATTCAGAGTACGATCAAGTAATGATGGGAGGTCGTGGAGTAGGCGGAGTGGCTGATAAAATTCAACAGCAGGAATCTTTCGTCACGACAAGAAATCCATTGAATGGTGAGACTATCCTTCATCTTGCCGGTAGAATGAATGTTGGCGAAAGAGCTATACGTCGGCTTGGTGGAATTGTGGTTGCAGATGACGGTCCCAATTCATCTGAAAAGACTCTTGCTATTCTGTGTCTAGATAAAGATGGAAGGTCGCCATTAACAGCATCAGCGGCAACAGATGGTTTGGAGACTACCACAGCGCTGTTCCGACTAGAAAGGGAGGCGGTATCTTGTAACAGAAGTGCAGCTAGTGCCCAAGCTCAGCCAGCTTCAGGTGCAGATGCTGGAATTTCAGGTGAGAAACCAACAAATGAAGCAAGGCGAAGGACTAGACATATCGAATCTAGACGATCAACCCCTTTAATGGTTTCGCAGAAGGCCGGATGCTCTGAGGTTACTAAACGATTGCTGGATGAAGGTTGTTCTATACAAGGGGTTGATGAGACTGGAAGAAATCTTGTTCATTGGGCCGCAGCTTTAAACGACGCTTCTCTATTAACACGAATATCTCATACTAAAGGCTTTTCTCGAATGCTAGAAGCTAGAGACGACTATGATCGAACACCTCTGATGCTGGCAGTGAGAGAAAATTCCTTTGAAGCTGCTCAAATTCTTCTTGAGCACAGGGCAGAAATTGATGTTTCTGATTATACTGACAGTTGTCCATTAAGTGAAGCTGAATCGAGAGGATTCAGTCGAATACATGCTCTGTTGCTGGAATATAAGCAGAGGAGACGTCCATCGAATGCAGGAGGATCAGGTTCTCGACATCAGACAAAGAACGAATGCCCAGCTCCTGGAAGTCCAACATCCTCCGCAAACTCAGACGACGAAGAGGCCACTGGATCAGAAGTTGATACTACACGGGGAGGGACTGATAATGCCACCTCTTCTACCCAATACACACCCCAACATTATCAAAACTCCCAAATTTCTCCACAAAACGACGTTCCGACTACATCCTCAGGAGGTGAAAGTTGGCATCATCAGGCTTTCTGCAATGACATAATTAAGCCAGATCCTTCGGTTTGCAGTAGTGGAAGTGGGATAATGAAACAGGAGGATCGTATATCCCCGCAGACCCCTTCCACATGGAGTCCGCCTCTGATGGCCCCAAGTAGTATCAAGGAAATATCACCCCCTGTTGCCTCCACACCCTACTGGCAACAAATCCATCAACAGCAGACCCAACAATGCGGATACATGGAAAATTACTCAGCGTATAATGGTGGAGAACCTCAATTCCCTGCGCCCTTTCCCGCCACAACAAACGAATACGAATCGAATCACCACACGTACCAAAGAAAGTACCAGCAGAATCAACAACCACAACAGCAGCAGTCTTTAACTCAACTCCAAAGCCAACCAATAGCAACTCAGCATCAACCTCCACAGCAGCAGACATTAACACAAGTTTCCCAACATCAGCAATCCCAGGCACCTCAGCAAAATGGACTGTGTTCGACACCTCGAAATGGTAGAGCACCGGTTTATATAGCTGGAAGTCAACCTTCTTCGAGGGGTATGTTTGCGGTGCAATTGTGAGTTTTAATACTTCAAATGCACTGACAACCATTCTCAATTCTTCAAAACGCATTTGGGCTCTGTGGCAGCTGACATTAACCAATAACCCGAAGTAGCCCCCCACTAATCTCAACTCCCAATTTCCTTTGTCTTCACTCCTCCTTTGTACATATATGTTACCGTTACAACCAGCACTATTGGTACTACTGGCAACATTTGTGCGTGTGTGCGGATGTTATATAAGGAAGCCGTAGGGCTCTTGACTAGGTGAATCTGTACTGATTCCCACGGTTGTGAGAGCTCTTCTTTTTATCCTTTTCTTTGTTCTCATTGGGTGCTCTCCTGCCTCTACAACAGCACACGACTTTATTCTCCGATAATACTATTTGTTGCTCTGTCCTCTCTCTCTCTCTAGCTCTTTCTTGTTTGCCCATTATAAATATATATATCACTACGTTACTGCTCTAGTATTTAGTGCATCATTCCTTCATCTACTAAGTGGGTCAGATAAGTTTGGGGAAAAATTTTTTACTATACTCAACCAATTTCAATTAAATTGGGTTGGAGTTAAAACGCATGGGTTATGAGGTTACCATAACGTATTCGGAGTAAATGAATTAAATATTTATTTCAAATGACAGGCGTTTTGATAGCTATCATTAGCCATATAGCTGACTTCGGGCTTCACAGAGGGAAGGTTCCTCGAAGTAGCAGAAAGTCGAGGGGTGGGGAACAGAAGAGCGATTCACAGATGTAAAAGAGGCAGACAGACACAAAGGTAGAGAAAAAGGTAAGATGAGTACTGTGAAAGGGGTCGAATATGACAAGCAGTCGGGCCATGGTAGTTTGAATTCAGATGTCAACTACCGGTTAATAGACTTTTGCTGCATACCCCAAATGAATTAAATAATAAATAGCGAATGACTAATAATTGCGATGTTACTTCGCTGAAGAATAACTCGGGTTTTCTGGGAAATTATGTAAGGTAGAATGATAGCGCTTATGTTAAACTATCGAAAGTGTAATCTCTCTCTGATAGATGGTAATCCTGTTCTATTTTTCCTGATGTGTTCATTGTTTTTCCTTCGAAATACGAAGAGCAGAAAGCACCTACATACAGGTGACCCAGAAATAAGACAGGGAAACGGAAGTCAAAGTGAAATCTTCATTATACAATCAAAGGACTTTCTCCATCCTCAATACACCGTCCTGTGGGCCATTTAAAACAAAAAAATAAGTGGTAGAAAATGATTCATATACTTGTTCAAGTTTCTCATTAGTGAATTCACTATCGAATTTTGGAATTCGAGACATCAGATCATGCAAAAATGGAAGAAACTCCGCGACATTAAATAAGTTCACATTGATAACTCATGTAAAGGGATAATGCTTGTTGCCGTTTGGAAAATGGCGAAATTATGAAATGAAGGGCGATACCACTCCTAATAAGGAATGAGACCTAAGTCAAGAGCGAAGAAAATGGATAAATAACATCTGAGAGACACCTGACACATATAAAGACAAGAAAGAAACTAGTGTCAAGGTGACAATGCGAGCGCTAGATAATTCATTACCTTTAATTTAACTGCTCCATACTAACAATAAATAGGGAGCCAATTATAATCAAAAGTTCTTTGTGAATAATAATGTCTACAGTAAATCAATGCAATATTTTCATTCCTGTTGAATGGGTATCCACTAAACTTAACTAAAAGAGACCTGCATACTTCCCATTTTCGCTTCCTATTACAATTCGTATTGTCAAATGTTTGGTCATCTCATCGTCAATGCGTTAAATTTTTAAGTCGCTGAATACAGTCTTCCCAACCAACCAATGAATTAAATATATATTTATTTCAAATGACAGGCGTTATGATAGGTATCATTAGCCCTTTAGTTGACTTCAGGCTTCACAGAAAGTAAGATGAACATCAAAGTGGCAAAAATTCGAGAGGGGGACAGAATAATGATTCACAGACGTAAAAGAGACAGACAGACACAAAGGTAGAAAAAGGTGAGGTAATTACTGTGAAATTATTCGAATATGAAATGCAGTGGGGTCTTGGTAGTTTGAAGTCAGAAGTCAACTGCCAGTTAATAGACTTTTTTGCCGTATGAGTATACGTTGCCCAGGGTGCACCACGTGGAGGTAAGTCTATCGCACACCCATGAATTAAATATCGTAGAAAAGTAGCTGTTTCATTCATTTGGGCAGGAATTCGTTTACTAGTTCATAGTGTACAACTCGATTCTGCGTAAACTTGAATTCGAATAGAAAATTTTTATCACTTTAGAAACAGGCATTTTGAAATCAGGCAAGTGGCAATTAATGGCGCATAAGGGTTTAAAATATTCGTGTTTATAATTACTACTGATATAATTTAAGTAAAAACAAATTTGACTGAAATTTTTAAATTTTGCCGCTGGGTTATTCCGCGAGGACTTCATGCAAGCCAAGCAAACGCTTTTAATTGTTTTAGTCAATGTATGGCAACACTTACCACAAACCTTAACTCTTGGAAGAATGCAGGTATTGTAATCTACTCCCACTGGTATAAGCCAAATCAATACTGATGAGGAGGGGAGTGCGATAGACTTACCTCCACGTGNAATTCGTCTGTACACAAGTTGCACATAAAACGACGGCGAACAATTAAATGCGTGACAAAGCCACAATAGAGGGACCGGGAGAATTATTGGTATAAGCGACACATGCAATCTAAATGAGATGGAGAAAAAAGAGAAAAAAATAAGAAAACAAAAGTGAGAAGACAACAGACCAGGCAGTGCCAAGATGCGTTAGTTCGATACACCCACCTCTTTTCTTATTCCCACACTAATAGGCTCGATCGAAAACATCGCCCTTAAATTTTAGCGGAACTGAAGGATCTAAAAAGACCACAAGTCTATTTAGCCATTTTGTTGATAACG